AAATAAACAATATAACTTTATGCCTGAAACATGAAAAAATAGAAAGTCTGAACAGACCTATAACTAGGTAGAAGATTGAATCAGTAATCAAAAACCTCCCAGTAAAGAAAAGCCCAGGACTTGATAGTTTCACTGTTGAATTCCACTAACAGTTAAAGAATCAATGTGAATGCTTCCCAAACCCTCTGAAAGAGTTAAAGGGGAGAAAAAACTCTCAAACTCATTTTATGTGGCCAGCATTACCCTGGTACCAAAGCTAAAGACATTATAAGAAAAGAAAACCATAGGCCAATATCTTTGATGAACACAGATTAAAAAAAAAAAATCCTTAGCAAAAGACTAACCTTTAACTTTATCTTAACACTCACAAAATATAAGGGCCTGCACTATAACCAAACAATCTATTGAACAATTTCATACATTTCTTCTAAGTTTAAGATATAAGATTTTGCTCACATTAGTACACACTTTTAAATTTCCTCTTGTTCCCTGGTAATTTTTTTAAAAAAATATGATTTTATTGATTTCAGAGAGGAAGGGAGAGGGAGAGAGAGAGAGAAACATCAATGATGAGAGTCATTGCTCGGCTGCCTCCTGCACGCCCCCTGCTGGGGATAGAGCCTGAAACCTGGGCCTGTACCCTGACCGGAATCGAACCGCGATCTCTTGGATCCCAGGTCGATGCTCAACCGCTGAGCCACACCTGCCCATCTAGTGTGTTGGTTTTTGAAGCAAGTGTGGATCTCTGAAGTAGGGGAGAATAGAAAAAGCAGGTTAAAATACTACAAACGGTGCTACTCTTGCTGAGACTCAGCCATTTTCTTTAATAATGCCCCTAGCAATTTATACCTAATATTCACTTAGGGAATTCCCATGAAACTGAAAATTTTGATGAGAATATTAGAAAGTGTAATATCAGTCAGGGACAGTGCCCTTTATCTACTTGGATGGATGTTGGCTTCTATTAAAATAAGTAAAATAAAATTTTATGACATTCAGAATATGAGGGAAATCCTAGAAAATTATTTTACCTATAATTAAAAACTTGCAAAACTGAAATTTACAAAGCTATGTTATGACCTAATACCCAATTATCATAACTGTAACTTCTTCCACGTTTAGAGTGAGCAAAATAGAAATTAAGTACGTTGCTTTACTGGTTAGATACTGAGCGCTGAAAGGCTTATGGAAATAGATGGGGCTGCTGTACGCAGTACACAGTGTGTTCCTTGCGTTCCAATGAATTATTTTATATTAGAATGCAGCTGGCTTTCAATGCATTATGATGAAAAAGATAAAATCTCCTTTAAAAGAAGTGGGGGGTTATATCAATTTGAAAGGATAAAAGGGCAATATTTAATAAATAATACGTTTAAATATCTATAAACCTAAAATTCTCAACCTAATGCATTAACGTGTTTCCGTGCATGGCTTGGAGGAAGGAACTTTAAAAGCCTGTAAAAATAAAGTTTCAATCCAGAATAGCAAAGAGAGTTATAGATCTGATGTTTGTTCAGTGAACGTTGCTGTTTTTTCCTTCTTGCTTGCTGTTCTCATTTGTGATTTGGTTATTAAAATCTGCACAGTAGAAATAGCAAGTTGTTGTTCAATGAGTATAAAGTCACTGCATTGCAAGCTGAATATGTTCTAGAGATCTGCTGTACAACACAGTGCCTATAGTTAACAATACTATATTGTGCACTTAAAACTTGTTTAAGGGGGTAGATCTCATGGTAAGCGTTCATAACAGGCACACATACATACACTCATACACACACAACACACACACATCCATGCACACAAGCGAGAAGAGGGCACTAAATCTTTTGGAGGTGATGGATATGTTTTTACTTTGATTGTGGTAATGACATCACAGTCGAGTACATGTGCCCAAACCCATCAAAATGTATACAGTACATTAAGTATATACATTTTTGTATATTAAATATTCCTCAGAAAAAACTGTAAAAATAAGAGTTGATGCTTTTATTTGTCAAGGTTCTCAAGAGAAACAAAATCAATAGGATAGATAGATAAATGGAGATATAGAGATTTACCATGAAAGGATTTGCTCGTGTATCTAAGTCCCTGCAACTGTCATCTGTAACCTGGAGGCCTTGGAAAGCTAATGGTCTAGTTTCAGTCCATACCCAGTAACCTGAGAACCCGGGGAGTCCAGGGGGAAAGTCCTGGCCTGAGTCTGAAGGCCCAAGAAGCAGGAGTGTCCATGTTTGATGTCCAAAGGTGGGAGAAGATGGGTGTCCCAGAGGCATATTTTCAGAGAGCAAATTTGCCCTTCCCAATGCCTTCATTTTCTGTGAAGGCCTTCAATGTTTTGAATAATGCCAACTTGCATTGGTGAGGCTGATCTTTACTCAATCTACCAATTCAAATGTTAACCTATACTAGATACACACTCATTTACCTGCTAAGTAATAATGTTCTACAAGATAGGTGGGCATCTCTTAGTCAAGTTGCCACATAAATGAAACCATCACAGGGTTAAAGCCTTGAATTTGAAATCTATAGGGCAGGCCAGCAGACTGGAAACCGAGGCAACTTTTCTATGTTATAGTCTTGAGACAGAATTCCTTCTTTTCCAAGAAACTTCAATTTTTTGCTCTAAAAGCCTTCAATTGATTGGATGAGGCTCACTCACATTATTGATGTTTATCTCCTTTATTTAAATCAACATTTTGAAATGTTAATAGCAGCTACGAAACCCTTGCAAGGTAACAGCTAGACTAGTGTTTGACCGAACAACTGACCAAAATACCTTATCCAAGCTGACAAATCAAGTAAATACTCTCAATCTATATTTAAAAAGTTACAGATCTCTCTCCTCCTCCCTTCCTCTCTCTGAAATCAATAAGAAAACATTTTTTTTTTTTTTTAATGAAGAAAGATATCATCTAGATCCTAACATTTCAACTTATCACAGTGGTAAAAGAGCAAACTAAAGAAGCAGAAGGAATGAAATGAAAAGGAACAGTGCAGAAATTATCAAAATAGAGAACAAAAAATTAATAAAGGAATCCATGAAGCCAAAAGCTGGTTCTTTTAAAAAGTTCAAGAAAAGTAGAGGGTATTAGTACCAATCTTATAGAAATACATAAAGATTAGAAACAAATACTGCGAACAATGGTACGTTGTAGGATAGGTAAACACAATGTGTGATATCCAAATAATCAAAAACCTTGACGCAAATATGCTGAAAGAATGATCCAGTCACAAAGGCCTCATATTATGATGCCATTTATATTAAAGAGGCAAAGAAAAGAAATCTATGGAGACAAAGATATATTAATGGGGTTCAGGGATCACAGGATTCAGCCAGGAAAGGGTGACAACTAAAGAGAACAGGGTTTCTTTTTAGGGAAGAAAATGTTCTAAACTTGACTTTTGTGATGTTTGCCCGAATCGGTGCTTAGACTGAGAGTCATGGAAGTTTACACCATTAATGGGTGGAGATATTATATGTGAGCTTTCTCTCAATGAAGCTGTTCAAAACAAGAAAACAGGAGCAAACACCTCTGGAACTGGGTCATGGGCACCCCCATTCCAGGTTGAACCCTTGTCTCATGCTTAGTTCCCCCCCTTAGCAAAGGGAAGGGTATTGTCATCCCCCAGAGAGCAGCTCAGCTGACCATAGGAGCCAGTTCTTTGGGGGAGGGACAAACCCACAGCTGGGCTTCCTGACTTAGATCTAAGGCAAGAACTTGGGTTCCGATTCAGTTATCAAAGCCGCCCATAGGTATGGTTTGGCTTTCCTCTGCTTCACCCTGGGGCTGCTGGTATCCCAGAGACCGCACCCCTCAAAGCCCCCCCC